ATATACTGCATGGTTTATGCACATGCATCCTTTTCAACTCTCTTTTTTTAGCACTAACTTGTCACATACCCTTCTCAATCTACAATTTTTATGTGTATATGTATTATAGGCCAGATTGGAAAAAATTAATGGACATTGAAGGATCAGGAGAATTGGAGATAGGCAGAGACATCCATATCATAGTTACCCAGAATGTAGGTCTTGGTACAATGCCATTGCATGCTTCAAGAACATTACTGTTGAGGAGGCTTACAGAGTTGGTGAGAGAAGCAAGGAGTGGATTATTAATGTGAGTAGAAATCTTAATATTGGGAAATAGAAGAGTATGAGGCTTTGCTCCATTTACTTGCTACAGTGAATTTGAATGAGAACAGGGATTAGCCACTTTCGAAACTTAAGAAAGGGGCATTCACAGCCAAATCATATTATAGTTACCTCGTTTAGAAATGTTGTGGATGGGGAGGCCAGATTTTCAGCTAAGCAGACACGAAGGTGAATGCTTCTCCTAAAATTGCTTTTTTTCCTTGGGTGGGGGGAAGAATGCATTTTGACTATTGATAAACTAATAAGAAAGAGAAGAATTCTGGTGAATGGATGCTTTCTTTGCAAGAATGAAGCAGAGTCATGTAACCATACTTTTTTTTCTGGTGTCTGGTGGTAAATAATATATGGACTGTGGTTCATGAATTGTTGGGTATAAGCTGGGTCATAGCAGGGTCGGTTTAGGGATGAATTGTAGGATTGGGAGGAAACCAATAAGGGGAGAAAAATTGTAAATCTTATTCCATTAACTATATTTTGGGTGGTATAGAAAGAGAGAAACCATAGAGCTTTTGAAGGGATTGAAGTAAAGATAACTTAGGTTAGTGATAGATGGTTACATTATATGGGATCTTTGATTTGACGATATGATACTAATAGGAGGAAGATTTTGGGAATATTATAGATATAATCACTGATTTGCAAATATTTTTGTGAATGGATAGCATCCCCTTGGTGCCAATGATTTAATATACTTGGTATACTTTTTATTTCAAAGTTAAAAAAAAAAAAAAAAGACTGTTGGTCTTGGTACAGGCACCGCTATGGAAATGAAGTGTGTCAATTGACTAATTTAGGGTGCAAGAGGGGCAGACTATATTGTTGCTTTATATTCTTATTAAATAACTTTGCTATTCCAACAAGTATTTCAACTACTTTTCATTTTTCATGTTGTGCTTGTAACTATTTATATTTTATTTGGTTTTACGTAGATAACAATAGACTTGATCGTTCACATAATTATGTTATCATTAATATTATTTAAATATTTTACATAAAAAATGAAAATGTCAAACTTGTAATTAGTCATCTTTATTCCTTATTCTCCATTTTCTTTTTTATTATAGGAAAGAAAATTTACCGAGAGAAAGAAGATAGAAATGCAAATGATTAGGTATCCTCCACAAAAAGAAAAATCCAAAAGAAATTAATATAGAGAAAGGCTAGCTAAATAGGAGAAAGAATTTGCAAGCCAGTCTATATTAAAGGTTGATAAAGAAATGTCCTTAAAACATCCATTGAACTTCGCTCTAACAAAAGTCAAAAACTGACTTTTTTGGACAAAAATCATTTTTTCCAAACAAAAATCATAAAAGGTGAATTGTAGTTTTCGAGAAATTCTTGCATTTCTCTCCACCCAACTCTTCCACATTCTGGCCAAAATAGCCCCACAAGAAAGAATCTTGACCTCACTCTTCATTGTTGGACACAGGAGAACCAAACAGAAAAATGACTCAATGTTCTTTCAAGTACCTTTTGGGTCACTTGGAACAAGATGAACAGAAAGCTTTTGAAGGTACAGTTTTCAGTCTTGATAGTTTTAAAGATTTATAACTCCGAGCTCTGAGTTTTTTTAATCAATAGTCAACTGCTTTATTCCAGTGATGATTTGAGGGACTATAGATGTTTAGAAAAACTTGTAATTTCTTCCGTATATGAATTGCACCTCTTCGTGCTTCTTGAATATATACTTTTTTCTTTTCAAAAGAAAAGATCTATGGTGAAACCCAATAAAAGAGCAAAGATATCAAAAACATGTTTCACATTCTCCAAGCCTCATCACAATGAATAGATTGTCGTGAGTCTCACATCTCTATTACATATCACAAAGTCCCGGGTAACAAGGTCCCAAATTCAAAGGATATTGTTAGTATAAAGCCTATCAAAATCACAGACCAAACAAAAACCTTTAACTTGTAGGTAGCTGGAACCTTCCATACGGATTTTCTACAGGGAAAATTCTGACTAACAGAACACCAATCTCTCTTTTATATTCTCCTAATTGTTCCACTATTTCCCCAAAAAGAAATGCATTACCAAGGAAACTTTTTTTAAAATAAAAATAATA